ACAGAGAAACAGCAAAACAACCAGGACGTCCTGTCAGATCAGAATCATCTCTGAGTCCAGTCAGGTGTATGTTCTTCTCAGATTGCCCCAGATGTTCCTGCAGGTTAATGGAAAGCCTGCTTCCTTCTTCTTTAGCTCCAGTGTGCCAGATCCTGCTAAATTCCTCCAGATTCTGCAGGTGGTTCCACGGCCTCCTTCTAGTTCTGCAGGGTTCTGTGAGGTTCCACAGCTCTGTGCGTCAAATGTGTTCCTTTCTGGATCTCCTGGTATCTCTCGTGGCTGAGCTCCCTGTGAGCTCTGCTCCTTGTTTCCTGTTTGTTTTATTTTGTTGCTGCAGCAGGAAATGGTCATCTTTTCCCTTTCCTGTCCAAGAAACCCCCTGCCACCCCCCACCCCCCCACCACACACACACAAGAACACACCTACACATACACACACATGCATGCAATTGGTAAGACCAATTAACTGACTCATTGACAGGGTCTCTAACTCTTGAAACTTTCCCAGCAATAACTTCTTCTGAAACCTTCTAAAAGTCAGAATGTGGACAGATAGACGCTGCGCTGTCCTACTGTAGCTTCAGTAGAACAGACTGTCAAAAAGTCCACTTTCAGTCCGACATCAATCTTTAAACACCTCTATCACACAAGGTGCTGAACTTAACCTGTTCTTCATGCAAAAGGGACGAGAAGATAGTTTCAGTTCGCTGAGTCGTGTAGCAGGCCTAGTGCTTGTAGTAGAAGGTGCATTGATCAAACTCTGTGAAGGATATGTAAAATACTTTACACAAAAAAGTTGCTGTTGTCTAATTCTAAGTGAACACTTCTGTACAGTGAAGCATGGTGTTGGCAGCATCATGGTGTTGAAAGCTGATGCTGTTTCTGGGCTTCAGTTCAGCTTTCAACACCATCATCCCACAGGATCTGATGGGAAAACTGGAACAGCTGGGATTCAATACACCCCTCTGCAACTGGCTGCTCGACTTCCTCACAGAGGGACCTCAGTCAGTCCGGGTTGGACAGAACACCTCTGATGTCATCACCCTGACCACAGGCTCCCTTCAGGGCTGCGTCCTGAGCCCTCTGCTCTTTACTTTGATGACATATGACTGCATCCCGAGGTTCCCCACCAATCACATTGTGAAGTTTGCAGACGACACCACGGCGGTGTGACGACAACGAACTGGACTACAGAGAGGAGGTGGAGCAGCAGGTGGTGCAAAGATAACAGCCTGATCCTGAACATGGAGAAGATGAAAGAGATCATCGTTGACGTCAGGAAGAACCGGCCTAACCACGCTCCACTGGTCATCAACAGCTCAGCTGTAGAGGTGGTCAGCAGAACCAAATTCCCAGACACCTTCAGCTAGACCGTAAACACCACCTCACTGGTCAAAAGGGCTCAGAAGCCCACCTACCCCCACCCATCCTCACCACCTTCTACAGAAGCACCATAGAGAGCGTTCTGACCAGCTGTCTCACTGTGTGGTGTGGAGGCTGCAGCGCCTCAGACTGGAAGAAGGTGAGGAGAGTGGTGAGAACAGCAGAGAGGATCATCAGGGCTTTTCTTCCCTCCATTAAAGACATTTCATCCCAGCGCTACGTGTCTTGGGCCTGTCACATCATCAATGACTCCTCACACCCCCACCATGGATTGCTCTCTCTGCTGCCCTCTGGGAAGACGCTTCACAGCCACGCCATCAGACAGCTGAACTGTTGAGAAAACTCTAAATCACGTCAGACTTTGCATCAAACTGACAACACAAAACCAAAACACTGCATATTTGCACCATATTTATTTAATGCTTTGAACTTCCATATCAATGCCCTTTTTTTCTCCCACACTGTTTACATTTGATCACTGCTACACTTTAAGGAAAGGAAATTTCACAAAAGCTTTACAAAACGACATAAAAGTTGTCTAAGTCAAAGTGAACACATCAGTTCCAAGAAGCATGGTGGTGGCAGCATCATGCTGTAAGGATGCCTTTTTTAGCAGGAAGGAGGTAAACATTAAGCCAAAAAAGTTATGCCTTAGATCAGAGCAGAAGGGTCAGAAGGGCCAAGTTAAAACTCTGACCTGAATTTATTTGAATATATGTCAGGACTATAAACTAAAAGTTCACAGATGTTCTTCATACGATATATGGAAGAATACAAGGAAGTTTAATTCTGGTAGAGAAAAAACTCAAAGACCTGCAGCCAGACTCACAGGGGCTGATAAGAAATTCACACCAAACCTCCCAGATGTTTATCAGTAGGAGTAGTTGAAACCCATGTATATGTTTCCTTCTATTTCATGATTAGGCAAAACTTTTCGTTGGTCCGTCTCATGAAACCTATTCAGATTTGCAGTTATAACAAGACAAAACATTAAAAAACTATGGGATGTTGACACTTTGTCAAGGTGCTGTAGTTTTTTCAGAATCCTCACTGAATTCCAAATTCCTGTTGCTGAATCGTACAGGATTCCTTTATTCTTCTAATTATGTGGCCTACATGGTTATGTTATAGTCAGACCAAATAGACCAAGAACTACCGAGGCAAGGCCAAGAACTTTAGAGCCCGAGACCAAGACATAACCAAAACGAAGGTCTTGGTACTCCTTGGTCTCGGTTGGTGTGGTCTTGAGTAAAATACTCCCGCATACCAGGATCAGTACCGCTGGTCCTGATAAGAACCCGATCCACACAGATAACAATGCAGAATCCTCCCCTTTTCCTCCTCATTGGCCAGGAGCTACAGCTGATCCAGAGGCAGAAGGTGGGCTATGAATTAAAGAATGTGAAGAACAGAGCGACCTACTCCTTCTGCAGAAAGTATCTGTTAGTCTCTGAATTAATGCATGTTCCTGTTTTCATGTGATAAAAGATTGAAACAAAAACACACTCCTTTCCTCTTGGTGTGTCCTTTGGGGTGGTGGCTGGATTAGATTTCCCTCCATTAAAACCTGATGAGAGATTTCTGGAGCCTTCAGCCGCATGGACCTTCGTCCTGCTGCTACAAAGTGCAGGTCTGCAGGAACCGACTGAGAAAGGAGAAAGGAAAATGCCTCTTTCCGTCATCTCTTTAAAACACGGTTTAACACTGACTGCGTTCTCCAGCATGTTGTCTTTGGCAGCTCGACTCGTTTGCATTAAGCCCAAGATTTTAGACTGAATGCAATGTCTGAAAACTGTGTGATGAATGCATAAGAAAATAAAAACTTGTAAAGTCCCTTTTGCTCTTAAATGTGATTTAACCAAACACTGAAACTTTTTGGAAATGTTTTATTTGTCTTGCTGCTTTAGTCACTCTGATATACAGAGGACAGTGTGGTGAGGTTTGAGTCCAAACTTATAGGGGTTCAGGAATCTGCACTTTGTTTCCCTCACTGCAGAGATGACGGACAAGCAGACGAGACCATACAGGAGCTCTTATCCATTAGGCTGTTTGCAGATGATGTTGTGATATTCGGTTAGTAATAAGAGGATGAATTAGAAAGATGAGCTTAAAAAAGTTCAGACTAGGCAACTGGACGTGAAGTTTTCTAGAAGATGTTTCACCTCTCATCAAAGAGGCCTCTTCAGTTCTAACTAGTGGTACACTGGAAAAACAATCTAGAAATAAGTAAGAAATTCTTAAATTAAGTGTATTTACCCTTAATTTGAGTAGGTAAATTAGATGATTTGCCAATTCAATGAGTATTTTAACTCTTAAAATAGGATAATTAGATAAAATGCACTTGAAATAAGACAATGCAATTGTGTTTTCTTATTTTAAATGTAAATTGTCTTGTTCCATTGGCAAAATGTCTCTTTTTTCACTTTCTCAATTCGAGAACAAATGCACTTATTTTAAGAAAAAAGGACTTATCTAGATTTTGATTTTTTCCAGTGTAGGGAGCACCGACACTGTAGGTGTCAGTGCTCCCTACACTGACACCTACAGTAACTGAAGAATTGTTAGTTAAGCTGATGAAGGTTCTCAGTCATCCAGGTCAGTCATTCCGTAAAAATTCAAAAAATATCCACTGGACTTGGTTTTCAAGATTTGAAGACGTTTCGCCACTTCTCCAGGAAGCTTTCTCAATTCAAATAATCGGTTACCATTTGCATGTTTCCAAGCAATACAAGGCCTTGTCTATATAAGACTCAAACTCACTGAGGATCCAGACATTTGAATTGAGAAAGCTTCCTGGAGAGGTGGCGAAACGTCTTCAAATCTTGAAAACCAAGTCCAGTGGATATTTTTTGAATTTTTACGGAATTGTTAGTTCAATCTCTAACCTTCTGCTCTCTCTGCTTTTTCTCATAGTAGCTTCGCCTCGTCTGTTCCTGTTTGGCTGTGACTCCATCCAGGAGAGAAATATCAGCTGTGCTGCTTCCATCAACACCTTTTATAGATGTTGGAGATTGGCCGGTTTTCCAGTGTAGTCCTGTTTCTCTCAC